ATATATATATATATATATATATATATATATATTTATATTTATATTTATATATATATATTTATATTTATATATATATATTTATATATATATATATATATTTATATTTATATTTGTAAGACCATGATGTTCATCTTCTATGTGATCGATTTCAACTTTTTCTTTCATTTCTGTCTCATCCGCTTTGGCTTTCAACCTCTTCGTTTTGTGTTTGTCAAGTTGTGAAATAACAGGATTTAACAATGTATACTCTGCCGAATTTTTGTCCACTTCAAAATCTGGATTAGTAAATAGTTGTTTAAAACGTTCGTCCGTTAGTAGATTGGAAGAATTCTTTTTCTTCTTTTTTGCATTTGTCTCGTCGTCCATCAACTTCGATGCGAGTTCTTTGTTTACACTCGGTAGTTTTTGAATCTGTAAACATATATAAATATATACGCAAAGAATCTCGTGTACGATGTTCCGTAAGATGACATTATAGAATGATGAAACGTTCAATACCTGTACCCTGCTACCACGAATTTCTTCTATTTTTTGCTGAATTTTCTTCTTTTTATAGTGTTCGAATTCAAACGGTTTCGTTACATCTCTTGCTTTCCTATATAATCGAATGTCCATGAAATAGCCATGCATGTAAGCCCTAAGAAGATTAGTACCTTTCAAATGCGAAAGACTTAATTCTTCCAACTCTTTTTCAGTTACAAATTTATAATCATCATAAATGATTTCGTGATTCAATTCTTCCAATTCTTCCGTTAGATTATCTAGAAAACTGCACCAATAGGGAGCTGGACCGAGGGAAGGAATGTAAAACGTTTGCATCTTTGTATTTTCATTGGCAATTAAAAGCATTCCAGTGTTTGGTATGACACACATATCGTTAAAATCGTGCTGAGCTTCTATGGACGTGTACAATTTACCCTGTAAAATATCGTTTTAAAGTATTCGAACGTACTCGAATATATCGCCATTGTTGTTTGCCTTTTTCATCTATCGACTCGTAAATTTCACTTACGCTGTTTCTTTCCCATATTTTCACGACGGAACTATCCATGGAATAGACCGTATTCGTTGTTTGATGAAATTCAATATTTTTAATAGGCAGCCCGTACATGTGATCTTTTATTAAAAATGGTTTACTGGAACGAATATCGTACAATAATATTTGTCCGGTTGATGTGCCTACTCCAAGTGTTAAACCCGCTTGATATTTTAAACTGGTAACGGCAGGAACTTTTTCTAATCTTAATAATAATAATAAATAATAAGATAAATAGTATGAAAATTTTACCGGTGCATTACGGTACAATATATCGTCTCACTTGTTTTCTCCAACGCAATGTAAAGCACAATCCAAAGTACCAACTCTGTTTTTGACTCGAGGATCCCACGCTTCTATCTTTCCCTCTTCTGTTCCGATAGCAAGAAGATGATGTACTGGATTGATTTCACACTTATTTACAGACGATGCCTCTGTCGACAAGGACTGCAGAAATTGTCCTCTTTCAAGATTTATTCTGTAAATCTCGTTACTGCAACATGATACAGACTGATGAAAGTAAATTTCGTGTATTCGCAATTTTAATTAGAGAGATACGCTTGAAGAGATTATGCGGCACACCTATCTCCCGCTATAAAAAGATCGCAAGATGGATAACGATATTTTAGATCCCTTCCAAAACGAGGTACTCTGAGTATGTAATATTTTCCATAAGCAACGTGGAACTCGACGCTTCGGTCGCAGCGCAGAAATACCAACTGAAACGTAAAAGAATTAAACGTTAAATTCAATTTTCCGATGAGAAATTTATTGTACGCACAATTCAAATACATACTTTGCTATAATCATCCGACAATATGTCGAATGCAGCAACTTCAGAGTCAAAACATCTTTCAAACTTCAGAGACAGGTTCTTTACGTCGAAGCATTTTACACGTGGCTTGTATATACCTGTTGCTAATATATATTGTCCGTCGTTTGTAACTTTGATGGAAGAGCTGATGCCAGGCATGTCAAAATCTTGGATAAGTTCAATTCGACGTCGAATATCTATCGAGATAATATCGTGATTTACACATAACGCGTATCACATTATTAAATTTACTAATA